GGGGGGGGGGGGACCGTGCCATCGGAGTGGGGTCATCTTTTCTGCTGAGCAGAACCAAGGTCCAAACTCATTGCCAGCAAGTCACTTCTGACTCACAGTGACGCTACGGGCCAGGGTAGAACTGCTCCTGAAACAGTAACTTGTTACTGGAGTAGGAAGCCTTGTCTTTCTCCTGAGGGTAGCTGGTGGTTTCGAACTGCTGACCTTGCGGTTAGCAGCCCAATGTGTAAGTACTACGCTATCAGGGCAGGTGAGCTTTATTTTGGGAGGGAAAACAAAAACATGAAACATTATTTTGCCCACTCCTTAGAAGACAGAGCTCATGACTTCCACACAATCTCCATTAAACTGATAGCTGTACTTTGTCCTTTGACTTCAATATCATTTTCTCTTAATATTTTAGTTTACTCACTCTTCAAATGGCCTTTCATTAATACTAGACATTGATAAGAGCTATTATTAATTTGTTTATATAGTTAATATGCTACCTACTGCGTTACTTTTTTTAAAAACTGAAAAGTAATTCATTCTCCTAGCAGCAAATAGTTTAAATAAAAACTCCTTCATATTTCCCTCCTCCAATAACCACCCCTGGGTGGTGTATACAGTCCAATGAATATTATCCATCAAGTTCTTTCATAGGCTTTTGAATACACAATTATTTGTAAATATAAAACAATTATAAATATATACTCATTAAATTTATTTTAATTAATGAGACACCTGTATTTCATTGTTATATCTTGCTGCCTCAAAGTGGGAAGATCTTTACGAAAGATAGATTTAAGAATTGAACAATAAAATATGGGACCTTCACCTATTCATTCAACAAACATTTGTGAGTGGCTCAGACTTTGTTATGGACCCTGATCATAAAAAGATTGAGTAAGCAAAACCCCAGCTCACTCTTCACCCCAACCATTCTGATAACAGAGGGCGGCACTCTCCACTATAGTCACCACCAGTCAGAGGTAGTCAGTGTGGCTGAAAACATCTATCGAAAAAATTCGTTAATTTGAATCAATTTAAATATAAATGAACATGCGGTTTGTGACAATTGTGTTGGATAGCACTGGTGGTAGACAAAGCTGGCAAACAAAACTGACAGCTTTTTCTAGGAGCAGCGGTCAAAGGGGAGAACATCCTTCCCATTTCTGATGGTTTCTGGGACTTTTTTGAGCTCCATGTGGAAGAGAACTCATTTAGTAAAGTTTAGGGCCTTTCTCTTCCTCCTTGTCCACTCTGCTCTACAGGGAGGGCATGACTCCGTTCATTAGTAATAGCCTTCACATTCCTCCTTGTGGGAGACACTTCCCATGGAGGTGTTCATTCTCTGCTGCTTCCTCAGAATAGGTCTCTTCCAGCCCCGCTCCCCCACAACCCCCCACAAAAAAAGAAAAGAAATCTGCTTTGATCTAGCTTTGTGTGACAGGGATGGTAAGTCTTGTCTTGGGTTGGAAAGCCGATTTATCTCATAGCTTTCTTACATCCTGCAAAACAGATTTTATAAGTAATAAGGTAATAATTTTACCCATGTATCTTCCTTGTTGTTTGCTTATCACTTGGTCCACAAGATATCTCTTCCAAGTTCAAATAAACACGAGATGCAAAGTGCTATGAAACTTGGTGTAAGAACAAGGTCCCATGGTCTAGGGTAGATGTCTCTTTCTAAAGTAAATTGCAATTGGGGGTTATACTTAAATTCCATGTGAAAGAGACAGGCATCACAAGAAAGGGGGTGTGAATAGTTTATTATGGTCTTAATCGTACTGTATGAGAGAGTACCCCCCCAAAACTGGAATTGCTTGGCGGAATGAAGCTTTCAAAGTACGCATTTTTCCTGCTAGGTGAGCATGGGGCAACTTGCTCTGAGTTAGTGCACCCAGTGGCATCATTTAGGAAGGTTCTCTTTGGTCACAGTGAATTTTTTGGTAAAAGCAGTTTCACTGAACCTCGTTTTTTTGGGGGGTGGGGAGGAGGTGTGATGGCTGATTTAAGAGAACAGTGTGAGGCTGTGAAATTTTGTTTCCTCCTTGGGAAAAAATGCCATAGAAATTATTGTGAGGTTGAACACAGCTGACAAGGACAGCGCTATGGGAAAAGCTCAAGTGTACAGTGGTTTTCTCGTTTCAAAAAGGCTGAAATGTCAATTGATGACAAACCTAATTCTGGATATCCATCAACTTCCTAAACAGATGAAAATGTTGAATCATAGTATATTTGGAGTTCGTTCCACCAGGTCAGACTGTTAATCAAGCTTTCTATTTAGAGGTTCTGAAAAGATTGTGTAAGAGTGTGTGACAAAAAAGGCCTGATTTGTGGCCAACAGGGGACTGGTTTTGCCACCACGACAGTGCACCTGCTCTCGCAGTCATCTCAGTTTGCCAGTTTTTGGCAAAACAGCATGCTTCTCTTGCCCTACCAAGCTTACTCACCTGACCTCGCTCTATGCAACTACTTTTTATTTCTGCGAATGCAGAGGGACATGAAAGGACAGGGAGTTTAAGACTTAGAAATAAAAAATGAGGGAGGTGCTGCCAGCTATCCAAACAGATGTTTGAAAAATGTTTCCAAAAAGGGAATCTCAGTTTTGACAAATGTATTCAGTGTAATGGAGAGTACTTTGAAGATGATAAGGTTGTTTTGTAAAAAAAAATTAAATACATAGCTTTGAAGAAAAAAAATCCTGTTTCGTTTGTTTACCCCCTCATATGTACACTCATTTTTTTAAGTAAAAGAAAAATGCAGATGATAAGAACATGGAGAATACTTAGTTCATGTGAGCATGTTTTTTTCACCCATCTCATTCTCATAGTATGCCTTTGTCCAGCTATAGCAATGATTTCCTTTAAGACCTTTGATAAACCAGAATTATTTGTCATTTATGAAAAGGCATGGAGTTCAGGGATGCTAAACCTTGGCACGATTGACATTTGCAGCCAGATAATTCTTTCCTTTGGGAGCCTGTCTGCAACTCACTCCAATTGTGAAAATAAAAATGTTCCAAGAGATTACCAAATGTCCCCATGGGGGGCAAATTACCTCCTGGCGAGAGCAAACTGCACAATGTCTTTCATCTTTTAAAGCCCTGTATTCTGGAGAGCAGAAAGCGTGGCCTCCATGTCCAGATTTAGTGTATTTAACTCAAGAATATTATCTGATTACCCTCCTAGAATTGGATATGGTTTTGGTAACCTGAAATCCACAATTGCCGCATTAATTATTTTAGTTCGCCTACACCGGAATTCACTGAGTATACTGCACGCTGCATATGCTCGGAAAGCCCAGGGTTCCAGAGAAGAGCCTATGGGACAGTGGCCAAAGGCAGTCCAAGAATGGAAAAGATAATGTTGCCGGTGTCATAATGCCAGGACTGTAATGACTGTGTTATTCTGAGAGATTCGATGGCACCTGAGGGGAAGATGATCATGCATGCTGCTTCTTTGAGAGGCTCTCTAATTATGTTAATCAAATGCAGGCATTTTCACTGTTTCTTGAAGGTCACTTTGCAGCACTGCCATTTTCTTACTTCAAATTAAATCATAAAAAGTACAGAATTTGGAATAAGAATACGCCTTAGCAATTAGACAGGCTTCTTTATGAGTTTCTATTTTCAGGATCCAAGCACATCTCATTAACACGGCCAACAAGGTAGTGCACATCTGCTTTCAAGACTTTTGGCTTGCTTTCCCTCCTTTGCTTTCTAGCCCACAGGTGTTCTTAAATGGGTTCCTGGAGAAAAAAAACAAAAAAACAAAAAACAAAAAAAAATGGGTTCCTGAAACGTGTGCCACCTCTTCCCTACTACAGGCCTCAGCACTTCCACAGCAAGAGCTCCATTGTCTTTCTGCTCCCAGCTTTCGACGACCTGGCATGTCCTTTCTACACCCAATCCTAGCTCTACCCACAACACCCTCACATACTCTGGATACATTCAGTCTTCCCATTAACTTTTTTAGTCCCACATAGCTTCACTTCATTTTTCTTTTCGGAGCAGTGGTTATTGATTGATCTGTGTGATAATATTAATGATTCTTTCACCAGATTTTAAGCTCTAGGAAGGCAAGAACTAAGTCCAGAGAGTCCGCTTTGGCTGCTGTCAGGCCTATCCCAAACCATAGT